TCAAAACCTTACAGCCAAACAATTAGCAGTGTTTGAATAACTTCTGAGGAGCTCTGCCCTGTAACTTGTAGTCACTGTGGCATCATCAGAGCAGTTCTCAGTGGGAATGGGAGTCTGTTTTTCCTGGTACTGTTATGTCCCAGCACCTGGATGCATTACCATCCCTGTGTGCTGCCAGAGCTGTCCCAGGGAAAAGAGAAACCCAGAGCCTGTTGTCTCCTCTCCCCTCGGCCGCCGCAGAAGGTGCTGCCTATTCTTTCTCCAAGCACATCTGGTTACACACACCCTGCACTCATGGGATTGTGGAGCAACTTTCTGTGAAATAACTGTTGTTTCTGGCTTCTGATTTTCATTGTATGTGTGAATTCCGTGGTGCTCAGGAAGTGGTGGTAACCCGGGACCGCAATCACAGCGCTGTTCTGTGTTTAGCCCTGTGTCTGTGCACTTCTGCAAACCCTCAGCTGCTCGGGCTGCGGAGCTTAATGCACATCCCAAAGGGTCTCCTTGCTTCATTTGATGCAAAAAAAGTGGGTTTTGCAGGTGGCTAAACATGTTCTGTAAGTGCCATCCTGTCATCTAATGCTATCAGGCACTAGTCAGATCGGATTCTGATTCTGCTCTGCTTTTCAGCATGTATTCATTAATTCAAAGCCTTTTCCTACCTACTTGTTGAAAGAGTCTACTGGGGACTGGATGCAGATTTGGACATTACTGCTCAAATTCCTGTCTGTCAGCTGGCAAGCCCATCCTCCCTACAGGCACAACTCAGATGTAGAGGAATCTCCCATGTAACAAGTAAGGCTGTCTCACAGAAGTGAGAATAACAGTTCAGGAAAAACATGTAGTCTTCTGTCATCAGCATAATCAAATCTATCACTCAGAGGTGTCCTTCTTTCCTGTGTCCCAACTGTGAAGCCTTTTTGCTGGAGTTGGCCTGTATTTTTGCCATGACCAACAAACTATTATGAAAAATCTGTATAAATCTGTCTTTGCACTCTCACTCTGGGTTGTAGCTTGATAAATCATAGTTTGCACTTTGTCTGAGAGACAACAGTCCATTTGCTTTATTTTTAAGGTCAAACTGCTCTGAAAAATGTCTGTCTTTGGGCTGTGCTACGTTATGGTTTCTCGTCCGTCTGATACCAGCTCGCACCCTGCCCCACAGTCAGTTTAAAAATCATATTTCTAGCCATAAAATAGTGAGTTCACTTTTAGCAGTTGCAATTAGTGGTTTGTGGGTGGTTTCAGCCAACATGGGCCAAAAGAAAGACATGGAACTTTTTTTCCCCTGCAGATTACGGTGAAAGATCCCTTCCCCGAGCACACAGAAAGGCAGGATGCCCATAGATACACTCTGGCCATTTGTGATGGGAAGATTTCTGTGTTTCCCACCTCCCTGCCTTGTCCTTCAGTTAAAGGTTTGGCCTTCCCCATCACACCATCAGGAGGAGGGTGCATTAGCAAGCTCTTCAGGTGCTACTGCTCACACCTTGGCGTGAGGTGAATCCCAGATGAAAGGCAGTCCAAGTTCAGGTGCTGAACTGTGAACTCTGGCACCGAGCACTGATCGCAGTTCCCTTCTGGATCCCCACAGGATCCACCTCTTGCCTGAACCCATATCTTGGGAGAAAGACCTCGTCCTTCCCACGAGGCTGGTGCCTCCCTCCATTCGTTCTCCTGTTCTCTCCTGGCAGCTCAGAGCAGTGGTGTGTCAGCATCTTCAAACCTGGGGGAATGGGTGATTCCTCGTCCCTTGAAAGGTGTCTCCAGACTCCTCCTCACCCATTTCTGCCCTCTGCTCTTCCCACCACGGCAGAAGAGAGACAAGACCAGTACCTTCCAGTACCTGAAGGGAACTTATGGGAAAGATGGGGCAGGACTATTTACAGGAGCATGTGGTGACAGAACAAGATGGAATGGGTTCAAACTGACAGACAGTAGGTTTAGATATTAGGAAAAAAATCATCCCTGTGAGGGTGGTGAGGCCCTGGCACAGGTTGCCCAGAGCAGCTGTGGCTGCCCCATTCCTAGAAATGTTCAAGGCCAGGTTGGACAGGGCTTGGAGCGACCTGGGCTAGTGGAAGGTGTCCCTGCCCATGGCAGGGGGTGGGAACGAGATGAGCTTTAAGGTCCCTTCTAATCCAAACTATTCTATGATTTTAGGATCAAGGGCTCAGCATGTTTGACCACACTAAGCATTGCTCCTTTTGATCCAAGGCCATCCTACCATCTATTAACTCATTTGGACACACTGCATATGTCTTTTGTGGAGGTAATTCATCACTATAAATCTCAAAGTTCAGGTATTTTTCTCTCTCTGCATATAGCTTTCATTTTTTTACTGGTAGCAGTGCTCACAGCAATGCAGTGACTTCCACGTAAGTGTCTGGGATGACATTTGGAAACGCCCTCCCTGTGTTCTGGCTGACGGTCCTTATTTTTTGCTGCAGCAAAATCTGGTGTTCCCAAGAAAACTCTGCCCAAGCTCATAATCTCACCACCATCCTGTGAGCAAAACTCTGCTGAGCCACTGCAAAGCCAGGCCATGGGGACACTGGTGGCATTTCTCCCTGCCCTGCCATTGTTGTGGTTGGTGGAGGCAGCTACAACAGCACAGCTCTGCAGTTCCTCCTGCTCCATTCAGCCCTGCCTGTACCTCTGCCTCTCCTCTTCTTGCTGTCAGCCATGGCTTCAGTGCAAGGCTTTGGTGATCTCTAGGAGCTTCATTCCCAGGAAATTCTCCATACCTTATCAATGTTAATCTTGGCTCCCCCACCAACCTTTAACCTTTTGCTGTGGGTTCAATTCTTAAAAAACTTTATTTCTCATCAGAGACTCTGTTGAACTCCCACAGTCACCCAGAGAGCAACTCCAAGCTCCTTTGCAGCATCAGCCTCTCTCCATCGCCCGGGTTAAAAGCCAACTGTGAAATGTTTTGGGTTTAGGTGGCAGACAGGTCCCTCACCTTCTGTGTTAGGCTCCAAGGGTCAACTCTGCCCAAGTTCTTGGAGAAAGGTGCAGCCTCAGAGGTGGCTGCACTGTCCTTGCTCAGGCACTGCCACGTGCTATCACAGAATCATGGAATAGTTTGGGTTGGAAGGGACCCTGAAGATCATCTCGTTCCACCCCCTGCCATGGGCAGGGACACCTTCCATTAGCCCAGGTTGCTCCAAGCCCCATCCAACCTGGCCTTGGACACTTCCAGGGATGGGGCAGCCACAGCTTCTCTGGGCAACCTGTGCCAGGGCTCCTCATAGGGAAGGATTCCTTCCTGCGGACTGTACACTCCTTCCAGGGAGGAAAGGGCCCCCAGCGGTGGCCAGGAAGCCTTTCTGGAAAACTGTCCTGCTGAACCAGTTCCAATTTGTATGAAATTCTTCAATATTCATCAGGGCAGGGAGCACACTGAGTTGGGCTGACAGGGGGAATACATTAACTGCCAGTTTGTGCCTCCACCCTCTCTCTTCCTCTACCATAAGGTGTTTTGTTTTGGACAAAAAAAGGGCAACTTCCAAGGAGTTCAGAGCTCAGTGCTGTCTGGTTTGGGACCAGTGGAAATTGGGACCTGGCCCAGTCCCACATTGCCCCACAAGTCGGATGATGATGGCTCTTTTCCCCCTTTTTCTAGCAGATAACAAGTTTGTGGAAAACTACTTTATTCAGGTGGGTAACTCTGGAGTATTCAGGGATTCAGTGAGTATTCAGAAACCCCCTGAGGTTTTAGTTTTTGGAATTTGGAAAGCGCTGAAACCTTCTGATCTATTAATTGATAAAGAAAACACTTAATTTCCATGCTGCGTGAGCAAAGCTTTAAAAACAGCTTTTACTTCTGAAACTGAGAAAATGAAAGAAGTAAGAAAGGACAAAGTGACATCAATCCACCAATCCACCAACCTTCCCCTCACTGAATTTTTCACATCAGTTTGATTCAAACCAAATTCCTTATTTTTTCTTTTTTGGCAACAACCAGTTCAAAGGCCCCACTGTTTCTCCAGCCCCGTGGTTCTCTCAGAGAGCCTTGGGTATGGTCTGGCTCTCCTGCATCATCCTGCCGGATGCTTCTTGCATCCCTCCTATCACCTTGTTTCAGCTGCCTGAATCACACCTGGAATCTCCTGGGTGCCCAGCATAGAGCAAGACCCAAACTCTTCCTGGTGGTCAAATCCAGAGTTTCTCCCATCACAGCACGAGGGCTTTAGCTGGAAAACTTTTTTCCAGCAGAAATCACCTTTCTCCATAAGTTTGCACACTGCCTAAACAGTGGGCTCAGGTGAAAGTAGAAACAACTATTGTCATTATATCTTCTAGCTCGTAGAATCATGGAATCACAGACTGGTTTGGGCTGGAAGGGACCTTAAAGCTCATCTCATTCCACCCCCTGCTCATTCCACCCCATTCCACTAGCCCAGGTTGCTCCAAGCCCCATCCAACATGACCTTGAACCCTTCCAGGGATGGGGCAGCCACAGCTTCTCTGGACGACCTGTTTGGGTTAAGGGGATCAGAGCAGGGCAGCAGAGTGGTTGTGGTGGTGGTAATAATCAGCACAGGAAAAACAGGGATCATTTCCACTGGAAAATCTGTGTGAGAATGACTCCAGTGAGGTGCCTGACTCTGTTGTTTCAAGGTTATCAAAGAAATGATCACCCTCCCAGCTGTGATGTCCCACTCTGTGACATTAATGGCAGGGAAATTTAAAGCCAAAGGAATGTCTTGGCACAGTATGTAATTTGCCTGGGGAAATTAGTTTCAAAAAGGATCAGAAAGTTAAATACTACTGCTGAGCTTAAACGAAGGTGAATAATTTTATAGCCAAAATAATATTTTTCTACGATAAATTATGTAGAAGGCGAGAGTAATAAAATGTCATGCTCCAGGGTATAAAACAATCCCTGTAAAGGTCAGGAAGCTCTTTTAACATACCTGCACATCCCTCCAGATGCATTTTAATTTGTTTGGATTTTGTGTCCTTGATTGGACATGATACTTGTCTCGCCTGAAGTTCCTCGAGGCCGAACACCTCGTTGGGTGGACAGAGAAACCTCCCCCAGCTCTCCCGGGGTATTGCTCCATCCTTTTAAGCGTGAGGCAGAAGATTGTTACACATATCACTCCTGTCCCATTCCTGCAAGACTTGGCATTGGTGGCATCTCACCCTCTGACTTGTGACTCCACAATTTTGCTGTTACAACACTGCCTCTGATTACATCGGGATTAACTTTTCAGCCCAAGCTGTCCACCCTGGGCATGATGCTTAATTCCTGCAATGTGGAGTTCCACAGTTTGGCTGTTGATGTTCTCTGTGCTTTGGTCTTGGATCATCCACAGCACATTCGGTGTTAAGAAGAGAAACTCCCTTTTTTCTTGCTTTTCTTCCTGCCACACATCAGCCATTAAAGCTGCTCCCAGCCTTGTGCTCAGCAGGGGAGTGGAGCCAGAGCAGCTCCGAATCACCCAGCCTGGAGGTCCCATCATTGCCATCCTGGAGTGGGGCTTGACAAACTGCTGCAGCTCATCTCAGTCCCCCAGCTCCTCCACATCCAGTGTACTATTAAATATCCATTATGTACTACTAAACAACCCCCAAGCAATAAGTTTGGCCCCTGAGTCAGGTCAGCTCCGCTCTCTGTGGCCCAAGCCCACATCTCCCTGCTTACCTGAAGGCTTCTCAGCTGCCTGCCAGGTTCCTCTACACAAGACAACATTTGGTGCTCATTCAGGGCAATTTACTGGGCTGGTTTGAATATGAGAGCTCTGAAATTTATTTCACACTTGTGAAACGAACCCAGACCCAGCCTCTTCACAGCGGCTGTCAGTGATGCTTGCAGCATCCTGCAATCCTGTGTGGAATTTGCTTGTGAGCTTTGTACAGTTACCCTCTGGGAGAGAGAAAATAGGGGAGAATTCAAGCTAGGAAAGGCAATTTACATTATTGAAGTGTTAAAGCAGGACAGAGCTGTTATCTCAAACCTAAAAGCAGCCAAAGACTTTGTAAAATAAAGGATTTTCATAGAATCATAGACTGGGTTGGGTTAGAAGGAACCGTAAAGCTCATCCAGTCCCACCCCCTGCCCTGGGCAGGGACACCTTCCACTAGCCCAGGTTGCTCCAAGCTCTGTCCAATCTGGCCTTGGACACTTCCAGGGATGGGGCAGCCACAGCTTCTCTGGGCAACCTGTGCCAGGGCCTCCCCACCCTCACAGGGAAGAATTCCTTCCCAACATCCCATCTAACACTGCCCTCTGGCAATGGAAATCCATTGTCCCTTGTCCTGTCACTCCGGGCCCTTGTCCCAAGTCCCTCTCCAGCTCTCTGGAGCCCCTTTAGGCCCTGGAAGGTGCAGAAGACAGATCACCTGAGGCATCTGCAAAAAGGTACCAGTAACCACTGCAGCCATGACATGGCCCTGGTCTCCCCCCAGCCTTCAATTGGAGATGCCCAGAATGATCTTTGCCTCTTCCAGAGCAATGGCAGCTCCATCTCCTCCTTATCCACCTCTCCTTGAGCAAGCGGTGACCCTCTGCACCTGCAGGCCAGCGCGAGTTCCCCCGGGACACTGTGACATCTTCAGAGCTGTGGTTATGAACCTGCATCATCTGTGCCCAAACCAACAAAAATACATCCCAGAACTGTCTGGCTTTGTATTTTCCTGGAGTTTGAGTCCAGTTGAAGGCATTAGACCATTTTTTCTATATTTTTGGATGCCACAAGTCAGTGCATTTCGGGTGAACATGGAGCCCTGTCACTCAGGTCAGATTAAAGCCTCAAGAGAGCAGAGCTACTGTCTGACAAGATGAGAAGCCACGAGGTGCCAGCACAGCCCCGGCGCTGCCAGGGAAGGTTTCAAAGTTCACAGCACCAGCCTGGTGCTCCAGCCTGAAGGAAGGGGGACAATCCAGGCACCCCAAACCCCCTCCCTCCCCAGCTGGCACGGGGCACCGAGCTCGCAGACTGAGTGATCTCACAGCGCTTGGGCAAGGCAAGAAATCCTCGTGGCTTCCCCTCCCAACTCCCCACTTGCAGGCTGAGCCCTTCCTCCCAGACACTGATTTAAAGACGTGCAGTTGAAAATGAACTAATTTTGCTTTAAAGGCTGCGAGCCCCGACACAGGCACTGCGCCCCTTGCCCGCTGTCACAGTGCACAGAGACTGTCACTGCGAGAGAGCTGCGCCTCATTTCAAGGTTGAATTTGTCCAGCTTCAGACCCTGGGACATTTACCTCCCTGGAAATAATGTGGGGAAGCTGTAGTCCATTACAGAAGAGCTGTCACTTCACTCGATGAGATCTCTGGCCAGGAGCTTGGTTTTTAACACCCTGATGTCCCCACATACCTCCTTCTTTGTGCTCTATTTTTTTTTTCTTAGACATTAAGGAAACCATATTTTATTTTCTGGCTTTTCCGTGCAACTGCAAGGACCAGATACTCTTCTTAAATGACAAGAGCTGAGAATCTTGTGCGCTTGCATGACCACAACGATTTTAAAAACTCCTTTAACCAAACCACTGCCCAGGTTTTACCGAAGATGTGCGAGGCTGATGTACGTGCGGGCTGCTGACACCCAGCGCCGAACACGTGAGCTCCAAAGCACCTCAAATTATCTCCTGTTGGCTTTTGAAGATACGTCTCCACCCTCCATTCAGAATGACAACTTTTGGCAACAACAAGAAAACAGAAATGACAGATGGTAACAAAATCTGGTACACAAACATGACAGTAGGCAGTATAATGAACATTTCACCCACTCCTTCATTTATGCTAATCGGTGCTTTTGAGCAACCGGAATTGTTCTGCCAGACAGCCGCGGATCTGAAGCACAGCAGAGCAAATCTCAGAGGGCCACCAACCTGAAACCAGGGTAAAACCTACCAAGTGACTCGTTGTGAATGAAATTAAAGTACCACTAAACTCCAGCCTGCTCTGGCGGACACTGAAAAATCCCCCCACTCCCAAAAAGCACATTGACCTCTCCTCCTGCCTGAAATTCCTGCCCGGAAAACACCACGTCCACAAAATAGAGGCAGTCCGGTCTTCCTGCTACCCAAAGCTCCACCAAAACTCAGAGGAACCATCAAAACTGAGAACCAGCAGCCCTGCAGTCGGTACACACTGTGATAACAAAATGTATTTGCTTTGGCGATGAAAAATTGCCTCTAAAAAGCCCCTTTCTCCCAGATTCAGTTCTCTGGGATGGACTCTGTCCCCACAGGAAAATGGTTACTCTTCCCTTTGAAGCCCACTTATCTCACACTGACATTCTCAGTGGAAGGTGCTATGTCACCCACAGACCTCCTTTTATTTCCTATAAAAATGTAAATCAGCCTATTTTTTCCCCCCAACAACCTTATGTAATGAGCAGTGTTCTCGCTCAATCATTTTGAAGATGTGCTTTAGCCTCTATTTTATGCAGGAATCTGTTGAGACTGAAACCATTCCTCTCCTCTTCCTGATATTTCAGTGCTTGCAATAGATGGAGCTGATGCAAAGCTCTATCACTGTTTCTGGGGTGGGCAGGATCTGAAGACATCTCAGAGAGCAACAGCAACACCCTTATAATCTCCCGAGGGTATAAAATAATTCTTCCCATAAATAAATTGCCAGTGCTTTCAGGAAAAAAGGGGCAACCTTGAGCAATTGCCCCCAGAGCCGGCTGGGGTGTGTAATTGTACAAAACTGTGTATATTTGTAATTATAAATGGGGTCCTCCGTGATGAACATTTCCAGACACTGCCCTTGTGGATCCCAATTTTCCTTTGCTTACAGTGCTGTCAAACATAACCCATGGCAGACGAAACATTCTCTTCTGGGACAGAATCACAGTGAAAACTCACCAGAAAAAGAGCAAATTTTGACCAAAACATTTCAGTTGCTTTTGAGGTGAAAACCCCACTATATGATCCTGGTGCGCTTCCAGTACCCAGTTCTGTGCTCAGCCCCAGAAGAAGGGGCTGGAGAAAATTTTTATGTCATTTTTATGTCAGCAGTTCATTTGATCATAGAATCATAGATCTCCCATTGTGCTCATGCAGATCCACCCAGATTTCTCCAACGTAGAGAAAACTTTGCTTTTCCTGCCTTTTTTCTTATCCCTTTGTCATTTCCTGCCCTGGGTGAAGCATCCCAACCTGTTTAGTTGTTCCTTGGGTGGAAACTACTCCATTTCTTTAATTATCCTTGTTGCCTTCCTCCTTCTCTCCTGGCCCTTCTGAAAGCAGGTTGCCCAGAGAAGCTGTGGCTGCCCCATCCCTGGAAGTGTTTGAGGCCAGGTGGGATAAGGCCTTGAGCAACCCGGCCTAGTGGGAGATGTCCCTGCCCATGGCAAGGGAGGTTGGGACTAGATGATCTTTAAGGTCCTTTCCAAGCCTTAATGTTCCATGATTCTATGATTTGGACTCCAATGCTCCTCCCCAGCTGGACTGTGCCTGGGCCAGCTCCCAGCCCACACACCATCTCCATCGACGGCAAGGAGACACTGCTCAATCTGGCTTTCCCAGGCCTGATCCCATCTCAGACCAAAGCCCTTTCATAGTATAGTTTGGGTTGGAAGGGACTTTGAAAATCATCTTGTTCCACCCCCTGCCATGGGCAGGGACACCTTCCACTAGCCCAGGTTGCTCCAAGCCCCATCCAACCTGCCCTTGGACAATTCCAGGGATGGGGCAGCCACAGCTCCTCTGGGCAACCTGTGCCAGGGCCTCCCCACCCTCACAGCCAAGAATTCCTTCCCAATATCCCATCTAACCCTGCCCTCTGGCAGTGGAAATCCATTGCCCCTTGTCCTGTCCCTCCATCCCTGGTCCCAGGTCCCTCTCCAGCTCTCTTGGAGCCCCTTTAGGCACTGGAAGGGGCACAGAGCTGCCTCTTCTCCAGGCTGAACATCCCCAGCTCTCCCAGCCTGGCTCCAGAGTGGAGTTGCTCCAGCCTTCAGAGCATCTCTGTGGCCTCTTCTGGACTTGCTCCAGCAGTTCCACATCCTTCTCATGTTGGGAATCCCAGAGCTGGAGGCAGCACTGCAGGTGGGGTCTCACCAGAGCACAGCCCACACTCACCTTGCTGCTCCTTTTCTGGGGATGCAGCCCAGGACATGGCTGGCTTTCTGGGCTGCCCCTTCAATCCGTAGGTACAGATGGCATCTGTTAAAAGATAAGCCAATCCTAATTTGTTTTGTTTTGTTTTGTTTTTAGGGTTTTTTTCAAGTGTTTGCACAGACACAGAGGCTTCTTATCCCCTATCACCCATACTCCCCTCTTCCTTTGCCTGGTTTCAGTTAGGAAGCCACACATGATGTTCCTTCGCTCCAAGACCTGGTGAACTGGCTGGCAGGTGGTCTGGTGAGAAGGGATCTGTCCTGGGATGCTGTGAAAAGGTGGGAGCTTCTGCCTGTTGTTTGCCACGGAAAAGGGAAGATGTCTGCATTCAGCTGCTGCTGATACCAGGAACACCAGCTCAAACCCAGGAACACCAGCTCAAACCCAGGAACACCAGCTCAAACCCAGGAACATCAGCTTGGGACGGTGCTGCTCCGATGCTGCTGTGGCTGAAGGAGGTTTCAACCCGTGTCCTTGGCGCCCCAGGTGTGTTCACAGAGGTCCCACAGCCTGAGGTCCCCGGGTGCCCTGGTGCTGCCCAGCCACGGACACCCAGCTCTGGCACAGGGGCCGGGATGTGGTGCTGGGTGGTCTCTGTGGCTTTGCTGCAGCCTCTGGGGCCAGAACTCCAACAGCCTCCAGCTCTGCCGGGGCCGTCCCCACATCCCGGCTCGCTGGACACACTCAAAGTTCACGGTGCTATAAATACCCGGAGCAGGGCGCCAGTGCTCCCGGCCGGGTGGGGGGGCTGAGAAAACCCGAAGGGGTTTCGTTGCAATTAACCCTGTGGGTGCACAAGTCCTCTCTGTGCGGTTTGAGAAAGAGGAATCCTCCGATTCAGAATGTTTCTAAAGCCAGAAGAGTGCAGCAAACTCCTTCTGTGGGCTGATTCCTGCTGGGAACAGACCTGGGAGAGGTACTGGGATTGGAGGAGCGCAGGAGGCTGCAGGACAGCACAGGGAATGGGTGGTTTGTGGCCAGGAACATCCACAGTGTGACCCCCCAGCTTGGGCAGATCCTCGTGCTGGGGACACGGTGATGTGGGGCCAGCATGGCTTGTGTTGTCCCCTAAAGCAGAGGCTGCCTGTGCACCTCTCACTGCCCTCAGAGCACAGCCTGGTGCTGCACAGCCTGGTGCTGCACAGCCCCACACCCTGCCCTGTACAGCCCCACACACTACAGTCCTTTACCCCCGAGCCTGCCCCGTGTCCCTGGCCCCATGTGCAGGTCTCACTCCCAGCAGAAGGGCTAAAACTTGTTGAAAATCCCGGAGTGCCACAGAAATGCCCTAAATCAGGACAAGCTCCATCGCTGGCTCAGGGACAACCCCAAAACGTGGAGCCCCCAGTGGTGTCAGGTCACCTGAGGCACAGCACAGTGCAGTGAGGTGTGAAGGGGCTCTCTCTGGAAAGCCAAACACATGGGGAGACCCCCACTACCCTACTCGAGGCTGTACAGAGCCCTTTCACGGTGCCAAATGTGTCTTTTTAAGCATTTCCCTCACAAACTCTACTCTGCTGGGTTGAGGGGCAAGACAGTCTCCAAGGAAGAGCCTCTGCCCCCTTTCACCCTGTTCAGAGCACGGGAGATGGAAAGCTCAGAGCAATGGCAGAGGACAAGCCTGCAGAGCAGAGCCTGATGAGCTGTCTGTGACCTTGTGGCTCCTGCTGGGGCTGGACACAACTCGGTGCACACATGGCTCAGGACCGAGCAAGGTCCTTGTCACCGAAGGTCTCAGAGCACCCAGGGCTGATCCCCAGCTCCAGCGGGGCCGGGCTGCCCTGAGCACAGGGCTGGACATCCCCAGGGTCTCGCAGACCAGGGGACCCTCTCCCCACTCTCCAGGGAATCTCATGGGCCTGCTCAGGTCACAATGCCCAGCTGACCCTGCCACCAGAACAACCTCATTTCAGCCTCGGAAATGTCACCTTTCATGTCCCTTTGGGCCAAGCAAAGGCACCTTCATCACTTCACTCTCCATCATTTCCCTCTCCTCCCCATCACCACCGCAGTTCCACCTTAGTGCTGCGGGATGCCACAGCTCTTCCTGACACCTGACCAGAATTTTGTGTTACTCAGGTCGTATCTCCTCATGCCGACAGGGTCCTGCCCAAGGCTGCGCCCTGTGCCCCGTCCCCCATGCTCCCTGTGCTGGCTGCCCCAGGGCTGGTCCTTCCACGCCCCCACGGCCACCGCGTGTGGCATCGCCGGATTCCGTGCCCGGCACGGCACCGGAGCAGAGGAGCCGGAGCCGGAGGCACTAGGGGGAGATAAAGGCCGGGACATGCCGGACCCTGCGCCCTCGCCAGCCCCTCCTGTCCCCTTGTCCCCAGGGCCACACTGGTCCCGGCTGCTGGCGGGGACAAAGAGGAGAGCTGCAGGTTTCCACCTGTCACAGTCCCGTTGCTTTGCGGGGTCTTTCCTGGCATCTTCGGTCTCTGGGAAGCACCTCTGGCAACGAGAGGCCTTACGGCATTTACATCTTCATGCAGCAGCTATAAAAGCAAGAAACCACCTTCTCCCACGTGCAAAGAGCACAGGGGCACCCCAAAAACTCACCCAGGAGGAAGGAGAACAGCATACAGCACCCAGACCAGGGGCCAGCAGGGAAGGAGGGGTCTGGGGACCCAGCCTTGAAACAGAGAGTGACACACACTGCTGAGCTGAGCTGGAAGCTCAGCCTGTCGTTGCCCCAACTCCCCTTTCCCAATGCCCCTCAGGTGCACTTGGCATTGGCACAGCCATGACAGCCTTCACAGGACCCCAGCACCAGCAAACTGGGCACCTTCAGGGCTAAAACCATTCCAGGGGACATCTGGCTCTAGGCACCACCCCGATATCACACCAGCTCCTCTCCTCCCATGGATGTTCCCTTCTACAGGGGCTCCCTGCAGCCCCTCTCACCAGAGATGGGAGGATTTCAGATGGGCAGAGTTTGGGGGAGGTCCCAGGAGACAAAGAGCCAAACCAGCAGGATCTGTCCCCAGCAGAGTTGTTTGTGCCCAGCTGGATCACACAGGGCCCTGTGGGTGCAGCCCTGGCTCCCGTGTCATGAATTGGTGCCAGATGCTGGGTAGGCACAGTGCGGGGGCAGCTCCGTGGGCAGGAGCCACGTGAGGGGGGCACTTCTCCCTTGTATCTTCTATGGATTAGAAAGAAAAGTTACATCTTACCCCGTTTTTCCAGTGTGACTGGCACAGAGTTAACCCAAATACTACTGATAAAGGTTTGTATGTTGCCTGTGATGCCATCAATCCATAGTGCCCTTGGGACCTGGGCTCACCAGGCACATCCTTGAGCTCCCCCTAAAAAACCCCCACAGCACCTGCCCCCAAACCACCAACCTACCCCAAACTTGTGTTTTCTCTCCCACTCTCCAGTTTGGTCACACCGTGGCACCGCTTCCCCTGCAGCCACATCTCTGATTTGCTCATATTCACAGTTATTTACAGCTCCAGCTCCACAGTTCTCAATACCCTCACTCTTGAACTTCCCATCTGCCGGCGCTGGAGGGGAACAGGGCGGCTGGTAACGCAATCGGGATGTTGGCCTCGGACCAGGAGGCTGGATGCAGAGGGAGGAAGGCAGAGGGGTGCCTGGGGCAGGGTGTCATCTGAGCCCCTGCGGGAACAGGGTGTCTTTGCCTCGATATGAGCTGGCAAGAGCGAGAGGAGGGAAGGAGATCCTCCGTCAGTGCTTTGCTATGCGCCGCACTCCCTGTCCCCCACTCCCGGGACACAGGGACTCACCGCTGTGGTGGCAGCACACCCATACCCAGGGCTGCTCATCCTGGCTCCTTGCTCCCTCCCAGGCCTGGAAAGTTTCACGGCTTCGTAACAAACACACGCTCAAAGAGCAGAGATTGGGTGCATCAGTGCTTTTCCCGTGCTGGGAGGCGAGGGAGGTGCACACGGGAGCACCCCGTGGCTCACCCCGTGTGCCGAGTGTGCGCTGACGGAGGCGGCTCTGACACGATGCTGTGGATATGAAAGAGCTGCAGATTTGTGCTCAGCCCCCAGCACAGCCCCTAAACCTTTTGGGGGCTCTTGTGCAAGTCTGGGGTTTGCACTGTCTCTTAGCCAGTGGCAGATACCCATGGATTTGCAGCAGTTTTACCTGGAAGTAAAGGCTTATTTTTTCTGCTATTTTTCAATAACATTAAATAAACACAAAGGGATTGCCTGGAATTGCTTGTGGCACCCAGTGCTGTGACTGCAGCACAGCTTCCCCACTGTGAAACGCATCCTGTGCCACCATGGGACACCAGTCCAGGATCTTGGGCTGCAAACAGGCAGGGATTGGAGTTTGTTTCAATTGTTTCCACGCTGCTGTTTTGCTTTTAGCAAATCATTCCTAAGATGGTGCCATTCTGCTGCATGTTCTACCCATTCAATTCCCACCTCCCAGCTTGGACACAGCCTTTGAAAAAGGACACCTCCAGTGCACCCCCAGCACTAATCCAGCCCCTCTTCCCAAAGGCTCCCGCTCACAGGTGCCTCGTGCCAAGCCCAACGTGGTCACTTGTCTCAGAGCGTCAAGTACAAAGCATATGCAGGACAGATGGGTATGAGGCTTATAAGATAATTAAGCATGTTAATGAAGTTCATTTGCATCTAGCTCTTAAATTCCCATAAACTCGGTGAAGCTGGGAAATGAGAATCACTGCTCGACGTCACAAAGCAGCAAAACTTTAGTTACCAAAAGAAAATGATAATTACCAAGTCGAGACCCAAAGTCATCAAGGCCCAGCCGGTTGCAGCCTCCCAGGCCCTGGTGGCAGAGCTGTGACACTCGATGCCACCGATGCCACTGCAGCAGCACAGAGAGCTGATGGGCTTTGCTGGACTGAAATAGCACAAAACCAGGGAGAGCAGGGGGAGTTACTGCTCCAGGGAAAGACCTGACCCAGAGATGGAGGAAAAGGTCAGAGTGGTGTGAAAAGGAAAGCCCATGGCTGGTGTGGGGAGCCAGGTGAGAGCACCCGCTCTCCATGGGCTGCCCCTGAAGCAGGACCAGGGCAGGGTCCTTCGGTGAAGCCTCAGCGATGGCACAGCAGAGAGAGGCAGGTGGGTACCCCTCAGGCACAGAGGGAGTCCAGGGCTGTGACCAGAGAGAGCTGGAAATGCCTCATGAAACTAGAGGAACAGCTGGAACTTGGGGATTGCCAGGGAACACCCAGGAGAACAAGGGTAGGAGCTGAGAGGAGATCTGCCCCACACTCACCTTCCCCAGCGCCGGAGCTGGGAGGGCACAGGGGGTCCCCTTGCCTAGCCAAGCCCAGGACAGACGTCACCTGCAAGTTCTCAACTCCCCAGGAAAGCTGAAATATCACCTCCAGTTCAGCAAGGAGGGCACAAGCCAGGCAGTTTCCAGCCATCCATGGATCACAGACTGGGAGACAGCTCCAGCTGCTGCAGCACCTCTCCATCACCCCGAGCTGATGGTGGTTCCTCAGAAGCAGAGACCCCACGAGCAGCACAGCCATTGTCCCCCATTGTCCCAGAAAGCCTTTTGGGAACTGCTGTGAAACACATCCAAGAGATCTCTGGGCTTTGTACGGAAAGTCCCCACGTGAACTAATCAAGCACAGGGTGGATCTTTCAATACACCCAGCGTTGGTGTACGACACATCCTGAACAAGAACCAAAGCACAGAGAGAGAAGAAACTTTAACATGGGGTTACCCAGGACAAGACAACGCCAAACTGAACACAGGAAGGCAGGGTTTATTTGAAATACCTCGGTAAGATTTATTAAAAATATCCCTTGGCAGTTGACAATCACCATGATCCACAATTGGAACCTGACTGGACAACATTGGAACAGTTTTTGCCTATAACAGAGGGTGAACACCCAGGAACACCACAGCAAGGCCTACACATCCCTACTGTCATCAAACACCTGGGCTGGAACTGAGGAGCACAGGTAACGCCTGGCTGTGGCACCAATCACACCACAGGCATTACTGTGTGCTCTGATACTTACCTGGGCTGTGGGAAAACCCAACTATTTAAAATACGGGGAAAAGAATTAATCAGAACCCAGATTCCACCTCTCCATGCTTCCAGGGGGACAAAGCTCTTGGTCTTGCTGCAGCCGAGGGAGAGCAGAAAAATGGGAGGTGGGAGGTCTGGCTGGACCCATCCTGATGCTGTGGCTGCCCCGTGAGAAGGGTCTGGTGCCGCAGGACACGATGGCAGTGGGTCACTGGTCATTGACAAGGAGCAGGATCCAGAGGAAACCTTCACATCTTCCAGCTCAAACCCTGGCTGGGCAAGGGCTTCATTAGGGGCTTCATCCCCCAGGGAAACCCCATGAACACACGGTGGGAGGCTTAGGAGAGACCCCAAGGGAGGCAGGGGGTGGTTGGTGGGACAGACAGACAGACAGGATTTGCTCTTTGGGTCAGATTCTGATTTTGGAAGCACCAAGGCTCCTCTTCTCAACCAACCACCCCCCCTCAGCCAGTCCTTGCTCTGTGGACGCTCACTCCAGAACAACTGCCTCACTCCCCTTTCCAAGCGGATCAGAGTAAGGCATTGGTATTCCAGAGTAAACCATCGATGCTCTCTGCTAAAGAGAAAAATAACTACTTCAAATTCATGCCCCGTTCTGGCCAACACAAGCTCCCTGGGGGGAAAAGCTCTGCTGACACCTCCTGCCACAGCTGGCAGTGACCTCCGGTGGCTGCACAGCCCCTTCCCGACACTTCAGAGCTGCACTAAAATGAGGAAAAATCAGGAAGGAGTCGTCTTCTCACCCAGCACTGGGAACAAGAAGGTCATTTATCACCAACTTCATGTGACAAATTCCTTTCACGTTTAAAAAAACGTCCTAGGTATGTCCCTAATAAAAAATTAACTCAGTGGCTTCGTGATTACCAAAGAAACATTGTCAAAAGCCAGATCCAAACCAAAGGGCGGAAAAACCTTCTGTTCCAAACTGTTCCTCTTCCAGACCATGCGCAGAGGGCTGCAGCTGAAGTGGGGCTGGAGCAAAAATACGAAAGCAAACCGATTTGGAGTTGACATAGTGTATTGTGAATTACTTCTCAGCTTTTCTACATCTAAGAGAGCGTGAAATGAGCGTCCGTACAGTGAAACAGTTCAATACACAATTGATTACAGAGCTGCAGATAATACGTTGGATCTATGTACACACAACGCTTAATATTTCACAGATAACAACTTTTTTCCATCTCGGTTTTGTCCACAAAGCATTGGCAGAGTATTTACAGCGAGGCCTCTGTGAGGAAGCCCCATCCCCTGTCACAGCCCCATCCGAAGCTGCTCGAGCAGTGGGTGTAAACAGAGCGGTTCCCTCTTCCTGCAAGGGAGGGACAAGGTGGGGAACATGGGCTGAGCTGGGCAGGAGGGAAGAAATGATGTCCAGCTAACCTGGAGGCTTCGAAACAGTTTGATTTGCCTTTTTAAAAATTTGTAACTGGAAACTGTTCTTGGTTAATTTTCATTTCATAATTCAGTAACGTTTCGATGACGTTCTCAGTTCATGCTTTCTACCCGTCTGTATTTCTGTTCATCCCCACGTGTGCCTGTGCAAGGTCAGGCAGTGCTGAAGCCTTGGGTCAGCACTGAGGCAGCTCCTCAAGGAAGCAGGGGATGCTCAAGGGAACAAGGGAATGCTCAGGGGTCTGTGCTGGCTCCCAGACCCACCCCCTGGCAAACCAAAGCCAACCCTGGTTTCAGCCGATTACTCCAAAAATAATCTCCCTCAGGCTGTTTGTAATCAGGTGCTGCCACCCTTGATGGCTTATACAGGGGGAGGTGTAGGTGTCACTGTGTGGATGGAGAGTGGGCAGACCCATCCCCATCCCATCCTCATCCCCATCCCCATCCCCATCCCCACCCTCATCCCTCGCCCCAGTCCAATCCCCATCCCCATCCCCGGCCAGCCATGGGATTTCTAGCGCAGGGTTTCAGTAACCAGATGAAATTCGCTCCCACGAGAAAAGCAAACCAACAGGCAGGAGGGAAGGTGCATTTACAAAGGTGTCCACGGACTGGCTGCACGGAGCAGGCAGTGGGATGTTGTCCTAGAGCAAACCTTCTGTATTCGTGCTTAATTAGATGCTGCTACTTTTGGTCTGTGTTTGGCCCAGCCACCTGTGAGAGTCTGTTCTTTTCCTACCAAGTTATAAGAAAACAAGCACTGATAAACGAGAACTCCGTCCTTGAAGGAAGCATCTCATATAAACTGAAATTAATTGGTGACTGACTATTGGCCGACAGCCCTCCAAGGGCATTTGAAGGAGGAAGCGAAGAGGAGGAGGATGAAGTAAGCCCCCAGACTCATTTAGGAAAGCCCCCCGAGGTGCAGCACGCAGGCACAGGGGAATTCCAGCGTACACAGGAGTGCACAGGAGGGGCACCACCTACACCACAGGGGGGAGGGACCGAGGGCCTCTGGCTGGGCAGTGCTGGCCACACCTGCCCAGGTAGACATCACAGGTTAATTGTATGAACAGCAGAGAGCTCGTGTTGGGAGCAAACTCAAGCTTCTCACGGAGGACAACGTTGCCTTTTGTGGGGACACCCGCTACCGTGTGAGCCTGTGGATGCAGCCTACCCCGAGGATGCAGCCTGTGCTTTGGGGAACTCTGAGCATTCTGGGGTCAGTGAGACAACCTTGTAAGTAACACCTGAGTGAGTAGGGGGTTCCCTCCTCTTTCCTCTCTCTCGGGTTCTCCTTTTGTTGGCCACTTCTTTG